GCGTATCAATGAGTCGGCAGGCATCGGGGAAACTAAAAAATGGCGGAAAATTGGAAGCACTGAACGTTAGATCTATAGAACGAAGACACTTCCTTTTTTCCGGACCCGAGGCCATAATATATATGTAGCCATTTTTCACCATCATTATGTTATGGGGGTTGTTGGTGGGTGCTCTTGTGTGGTTTGCTCCTTCTTTCCTGTCAAATATCTATCATCTCTATCTCTTTTTTGTCTTTGTATGTAACTCTTTATTAACATCTCTAATCTTTTTCACTTTTATGACCTATTTGTGTTGCAAATAGTTGTAAATGCTGTAAAACTTCCCAGAGTTTTAAGATCATTTTAGATGTTGGCCACTTGCCATTTAAAAGTAAAAATCTCATCATATTGACCATAGCTTCTGTGATTTTAGAAAGGGATTCGTTTTTTTCCCCCTCAGATAAAAGGCGTTTTATTATGTACTTTTATTTTTTCCTTAGTAGTGTCTTTTGTGTCGCTTTTCTTTTGCCCTTTCTTCCCAAGAAAACTATAAGTGTTCAATCTTATTTTTATGGTTGAGATCATCGACGGGCAAATTCAGAAAAATGTCCATTGTTTCAACTTGACCCTGTACTCTGATTTCAGAACCATACCATCTCAACATCTCACGAAGGCTTTTTTAAATCTAAACTTGAAAGTCAAAGATTACTTCTGCTTTGGAACAGGTTTTCTGTTCTTTTTGGATTAATTGTTGATGGGGAATGGTACTCCTCAAAATGACATTGTAGCAGGGAATGGATTGCACAAAATAAAAGAAACTGCAATGGAAACAGCTAAGCTGTTGTACATCACTTTTGCTTGAATGAGCATTTCATTATTTCAACGGCCACAAATAGATTTGTAGTGTTAGTGTATCATTTTAAATTTATTTTTTGTATTTTTGAAAATTTTTGGTTCCAAATCATTATCATCACCATTGCCTTTCTCTCCCTGGATCAGAATATAGGCCCCAAGCAAGAACTCTCCACATTTCCCTATCCTGGGCTAGTCACTCCATGTCTTCCTACTTTTCTGTAAATCCATTTCTTAAGTCTTTTCCAGGTTCCACGGGGTCTTCCCCTTGATCTTTTACCCTGTGGGTTCCAATCTAACACTTTCCTTGTTCTGCAGCTGCGCTTTACTTGCTGAAAGTGTGTCTAATCCGTCGCCAATGCCTTTTTCCCTCCTCATCTCTGGCTGGGCTTTGTCTCGTTCTTCTTAATACTTCCTCGTTGGTGATTGGTTCCGATTGTTGTGTGAATATTTCTATTGTTGTTTCCATCAGCTCACCTGGAGTATGCTCAGAGATGTCTTCAGTCAATTTGGTCGTGTATTATTTGCCAAGATTGTTTTCGATCATGCAACAAAACAGCCCAAAGGGTGAGAAATTGAAAGTATTGCTTGGTTTTCTTTGATTTTCTTTTTATCTCAATGCCTTTCAATAAATTGTAAGTTTAACCTTGTTTCCGGATTTTGCCGCACTCGCACACATACACACACACACACACAGAGACAGACAGACACACACACACACAGACACACACACACACACACAAGCACATGCACACGCACACACACACTTCAAGTAACACATTATAGAGTACTGTATCCAGAAATCCTTCCATGACACCCAGCAATAAATGTTTTGTATCATGATTATTTATTGCTTTTGTTTCGTTAAGTTTTGTTATCTTGACACATTGAAGTGTGATTTGTGTTTTGAGCTTATCATTTTTCAGTTTTATATTTGTTTTTGTTTGTAGGTTTTTTTAAAAGTTTGTTTCGGTTGGGGGGGGGGGGGGTGTCATTGAATCTAAATCCTGACTGCGTTTTATTTTCATGGTCTGCTACTAAATAGTTGTTTCTTTCTTCTTTCATCTTTGTGCTCTTATGGTTATGATTTGTTTAGTTATTTCAGTGTTCATATAGATTAAAGTACATAGATTATAAAATTATTGATTACAGATGCTCTTTTACAGAGTTCCTTTAGGTGTCACACCATCTCATTGTGAACTTTTTATTATTGGAGTTTTGACTGCGAGTTGTTGTTATGATGAAGGTATGAAAAATTGCTACATTTCTATCTTTTGCCTTCGCAGGAATATAATTTTGTTAAATAAATGTTTTAAATATAGTTCATGGAAATATGTTTTGTGCAAGTAATGTTTTTCGGACACTTCCATTTTTCCAGGTTTGGATTTGTGGAATTTGAAAAGTCAGTGGCAGCTAGGAAAGCTCTCTCTGCAAATCCTGAATCACTGCAAGTCTTTGACAGGTAGATAAAAGGATGGTCATGGATGCTGAATAAAAAATGGGTTAAAAATGAGCATACATCATTGTGATTGGAATCAGGAAGGATTTTTCATATTGTTAATGTTTCTGGCATGTCATGTATGTTAGAGTTACAGTCACGAGGAGTTTGGGACTCAGGAGCACATAGTTGTGAGAGAACAACGGATTAAATTTAAAAAAATTATTTTATTTTTTTTGCCTGCTATCCATAAACAGCAAAGTGCATCAAGTGGTTTCATTTTGTCACGTTTTTATACAAATGACTAGCGTAGAACTGATGATGTGGAAGCACCTTCTATGACAGGACACTAGTCTGTCATTGTTCCCTATTTGCTCAGAAGACAAGGGAGGAATGATCATGTGAACAGTTTTGAATCCGACAGCTCCAGGAATTTATTGCATGACCTTTAGATGGTCAACACTGTGCTGCACTGGATTACAGAAATATAAATATGTGTGTGTTCCTAAAGAAAGGTACCAAAAGTCAGATTTTAACTGTTTTGAGTTAAAGGTTGTACCTAATAGGACATTCAATGCTGAACACAGTGGTTTTTAAAATTTTTGAGATATCTCAAGTAGTTTTTGAGACATTGCACATATTGCGAGGTAGGGTATAAAGATGTAATTTTGAGAAAATTAGCTTTTAAGTTTAGAACACATACAAACTTGAAAAAAACAGTGATTCAATTGTTTCTAATGTATTTATTCATGGAAAATTCATTTCCAATTTGGCATTCAGTTGATATCAATGTCATGATTAGAATTCAATGGTAAAACATAGCGGGGAAGAGAAAACGTGCTTCAAGAATAAATTTTAACACCTTTTAAAAGCAGTTTTCATTATCTTTTTAAAACATATACCCTACCCTCAAAATAATTCAAAATTAAATATTTAGAAGTGAAATCAGCTAAAACTCTTTCGACACCTTGTTATAAAATGGTCAAACTATCATTTTTTAAAATGGAAACACATTCTGGTCAAAAAAGTGATTTTCTGTCATTATCAACTTGTAGCTCAAAATGGTCTCTGACGACTTTTGGTACCCTTCTTTAGGCACACACACATACAATCTTATTAAAGAATTACTTGAGAGATGAAAGACGTTGAACAATCTTGTCAAATGATTCAGTAGGTACTTTTATTAGGTGCTTGCAACTGCATAAGGTCATACGAGCGTCAAGGGGTGGATGTCAACAGAGAAGTCCAAACGGGGAATGAGGCTTACTCTGCTCTCCTCTCTAGCCTCTACAGCACAAAGTCTGCTTCAACTATCAAGGCACCCCAGAAATAGGAGTTCACGACAGAGTGACAAACATACAAAAGAAGTAGAGGAAAAAATAATGATAATAAAGATGAGAGAAAAGGCAGCAGTTCCCCCTATGTTGTTCCGGCACAGTATGCGCATGACATTGATAAATCAGCCCATTTACAATTCTACTGTGAATAAGAACATGTTAATATTCCCCCTTTGGGAATGGCTAAAAGACACTTCAGTCAGTAGCACTGTCCTGGGGGGGTACTTTACAGATGAAAGATATGGAACAATCTTGTCAAATATGGTTCAGTAGATACTTTAGCTTGACGTAAATTCCTTTCCTTTCCTTTCCCCAGAATGTTGCGGGTGCGACCTGTTGTTCACAACAGACAGAGAGGAAAATCCAACAGCGAGAGCAGCTCAGGAAAGGATTCAAACACAGCTCAAAAGGCAAGTTGTAAACTTTTCTCTACTGCTGTCCATGTAAGCTTTTGATAAAGATGAGACTGAATTTATGATAAAGAAAAGGCATAACTGTTCCTTTCAGGCTCATGTAGGATTTGTCTCTTTCCAGTCCTCACCAGCAGGAAGGGGGTGTTCTCCGGGGAAGTATTTTTTCTCCTCTTCTCCTTGAAATAGAAATAAATTCCATCATTCAGGCCCTCCAAAACAACATACACAGCTCGTCACATATTTACAACTGTCTAATATTCTGCTGAACAAGAAATCCTCAATTAAGGTCCATGCTTTTGGCAGCTTTGGTTATGCTATTGTCTCAAATTGTTGTTGAATGGTGTCACTGCAGCTGTGAATGAATGAATGAATGAAAATTTATTGATCTTTGGCAAGAAAATTTACATGGTCATGTTCATAAGTTAGGTGAGAACAAGTTCATCAGAATATATTCTCTCTCCCTCTCCCTCTCCCTCCCTCTCTCTCTCTCCCTCTCCCTCTCCCTCTCCCTCTCCCTCTCTCTCCCTCCCTCCCTCTCTCTCTCTCTCTCTCTCTCTCTCTCTCTCTCTCTCTCTCTCTCTCTCTCTCTCTCTCTCTCTCTCTCTCTATGTGTGTGTGTGTGCATTTCAATGAAGTGAAGAATGTACTGTAGTCATATTATTCATTCTATAGTTGCATTCAGACTGCTTCACTGGACTGACTGAGAGGCATTAATAAGCTGTGAAATTAAGTCTAAAAAGTAAGCAGTCAGTACAATGTAGATCTGATTTAGTTAGTGTAGTGTATATATATAAAAAAGGGAGGGGGCACTATCGCTGATCCTGGCAGTGTGCAATTTTTGATGAAGTAGCGTCACATGTTTGGGTGTTCTGTTTTTGCTTCCTGGAAAGTTGGCCGCTATGCATTCTGCAATTTAAACAAGCACAGTGGAAATTAATTAATTTTGTTGTCAGTTTCACATCGTAATGCCAGGGTCCTCTGTTTTACCTTGTAGGCCAACCCTTGTGACTTGGATGGTCACGATGAACGTCTTCCAATGACCTGCGGTACGCAAGGAGCTCCGTTTGATATACTGAGTGATGATGAGCTGGTCCTCATCCTGACATACCTCGGTTTTATCGACAGAATCAGAGTTGAACGAGGTACGGAATAGACAGAAACTAAATTCTGTGTGTATCATGTTTTGTTTAAGTTTCTAAATTTCTTTTAAAATTTGATTTTGGTTCTTAAGTTTTATCATTCTTATTTTTAAAACCTGATAGAATAGGATTGAGAGATATATATTTCTGTTCCAGTGATATGTTATATTATGAGGGGGGGGTCCAGAAATGTTGGTAGGGTGTACAAAATGAATTTATTTTTCTCCTTGTTTTTGACTGGTCATTTTGGAAATGTGTAAATTGGAGAGAAGGACTTTTTTTTTTGTTAAAGAAAATTTTTTTTAAAAATTGCCCTGTGTAAGGTACCGTTTCAGTCCTTTTGTAGGCATTTGGTTTTTAGTAAGCACAACGAGCAGATGTTTAATGGCATTCTAGCCCTGCTTGGATGAGAACCGTGATCCTCCATGTTTTAGACATTTATCAACCTGCTGTGGGTGGTTGGTATTTAGTACCAAGTTGTGGGGATTTTCTCTTTGCTCATATGTAACTGTTGTTAATTTGTAAACCTGAAACGTGGTTGTTAAGTTTAAAATAGTCAAACTGTTAGATGTCTTCTCTTTTTTGTAATAAAAATGCTGAAAGGCATTCCATATCACTCGACTGTTCAGTATTAATTACATTTCTTTGAGGTGTAATTTTTGTAAAAGGAGCAAATGTATCTTTTCAAATGCTGAGAAGTAATTTAAAAAAAAAATAATGGAACATTCATCTGGATTTATTATGTATAGATATTAAAAATGTGAGTTTGTGTGGGAGTGTATATTTGGAATTAAAAGATTTTTTTCGATGTTGTGAATTGAGAATGCAACTCGTACATGTGCGTGTTTTCTTTGCGATACAGTTTGTAGCAGGTGGCAGACTTGTGCTTTAAGAGCCGCAAAGACTGAGAGGCATCTCACGTTGTATAAAGAATTCCGAACATTTGGTGGTGAGTCATTGTGCTTCTCGGAATACTTTCTTGTGCAGAATTTTGCTGCTGTGTCTAGGTAGTGACATCCCTTAGAAAACTTGGGGGGGG